ACTACTCAAATATCCTTCCAGTCAGTTCAGCATTCTTATCTATCGTGATTACTATTCCGTAATTTGTTTAATGTTTTTCTTCTATTTCTGGTGCTCCTTTCACATTTATTAATTAGAATTCAACTATAAAAAATGGATGTTCCATCCTCCATCTTACTTATTAATTGCTTATTCCAGTATGTTCTCGTGTTAATTGCGATGAGCCCTTGGGTCACCTGATCCCACTGCTAATTCTTAGTTCTCGGCCTCATCTGTTGTCTGCGTCATGACCACAGTCTCCTTGCTGGGATGCTCGATGCCACAGACTGTACAAGTCCTCCTGAGAGTGTACCATGCCAGTCCATGTCACCATCTTTCAGTTGTTCCCCTTTGCTCATAGTTCTTGTTGAATGGCTATGTAATGGCAGTTAACACCTGCGGGACATTTATGAATTATGGTTCCAATGCACAGTCTCACTGAATCCTCTCAATAGCTGAGTGGATCAATCTTATCCTAAGCTGCTTCTCCTTCTCCTCCTCCTCCTCCTCTTCCTCCTCCTCCTCCTCCTCTTCCTCCTTCTCTTCCTCCCCCTCTTCCTCCTCCTCCTCCTCGTCATCATCATCATCCCCATAATAAGGATGAAGCACTGAGGAACAAAAACATTAGGCAACTTCTCCAGGATTGCTGATCTCTTAACCGTTGAGCCCATACTCTTGGCCACTACACTTCCACTTGCTAACTGAACACTAATGATCCAACCTTGGCTACTTCTCCAGTCATATTTCCCATCAGTCCAAATGTTTACTGCACTCTCCATAAACAGTAGTTGTAACAGAAGAAGGAATTCTCATTCAATATTTCTCAGAGTCCAGATGACATTTTGGCTGCCATGGTGTTAGGGACATCAGTAGCAGCAGAAGGAGAAGTTCTCTAAGTATTATAATTGCATAAACAGTGGTCAGCTTTCCCATGATAGTACCTAAATCAAGTACTTAAGTGTACACTACTAAGCTGCAACTGTGGATCTCTCCTTGTGTGTGTGTGTGTGTGTGTGTGCTCGCACGTGCGTGTCCATGTCCGTGAGTGTGTACATGCATGTAGGTATGTGCATATAGAAGTCCAAGGACAACTTGAGATATCAGTCCTCAGGCGCCATCTACCTTTTTTTTTTTTTTGAGATAGGATCCCTTACTGGCCTGGAGATGACCAAGCAGGCTGGCTGCTTGGCTGGTGTGCTCCAGGGCTATACCTGGCTCCACCTCCCTAGCACTGAGATCACAGGGGCATGCCACCATATTCTGCTTTAGTCCATGCGGCTCCTGAGGACCTGAGGTGGTGCTTTCCTTACTGGATGCCCTCACTGGGCTGAGCATGGCTCTGCTTTAGTCTAAGGATGTGAGAATTTATGCACCAACTCAGCTACTTTAATTCACTATCTCCCTTCAGTATGCAAAAAGTTACATCCTGTGTATAACATGGGCTCAGTCTGAGGAGTCACAAGTTGGTACCTTCAGATACGATGTAAGGAGTAACCTATCATTCTAATGCAAGTTAGTATGGGTCTCAAATGCATTATCTAAAATACCTTAGTTCACATGTGTTCAAGGAAATGGATTTTTTCATATGCGTGTGTGTGTGTGTGTGTGTGTGTGTGTGTGTGTGTGCATGCAGGGCACTCGTGTGTAAGACTATATTAAAAAAAATTAAAAACAAATTTAAATACAAAAGATAATACAAAGAGACACTCCACATTTGTCCTTGGAGTAAACTAATTCTAGAGATGGGGTTGCTGTGGCTTCTGCACTCGTAGGCATGCGAGTCCAGTGGCTGCTCTCCTGGCTATGGATTGAGAAGACTTGGGGCCAATTTTAGTTGTCCAGGACAAAGGTCCCGAGGACTTAGGAAAAAGGCTTAGTTTGAGGTAGTGATAGGCTAGAGACACAAGTCTTGATGAGAGATACAACTAAGAAAAAAACTACTGACTGTGGCAGGTAAGGGACCAGTTCTTGGAATTAGGGGCTTCCAGGTCATGGGCTCCATCAGAGGCAGAGGGCAGGGGAAGTGGGCTTAAGGGAGGAAAGATGCATTTAAGCCTGTGGAATTTGCCTATGGTCATTAGCCTGAAAATAATAATCATGAAGATTGAAAATGAAGTCTGAAACTGCTTCCAAAATGGTGGAAATATACAACACTGGTCAAGGATCTTTCCATCATCTATTGTTTTTAGGAAGATTTATTTATTTTTATGTGTATGATTGTTTTGCTTGCATAATTCTCAAAACGCTGCTTGCCCTGGTATCCAGTGTGTTCTACCCTCATGCCACCAGAAAACTCTCATGCATTCTGATGGTTTTCATTGTCAACCTGCAGATGGTCATGCATTTCTTTAAAACATAACAGCAGTAATTATACCAGCTGGATGTTTGGAGCCCAAGCTTCCTCTATGAATGTAGGTTTCCGGTGTCAGTTGTGAACATGGGGAAATAGAAAGTTAGATGGATTTACTGTTGAGTAAGTCATAAAGCACACAGTTAGCTTTGGTAACATGGAGATGGGAACAATTGCAGAAGAGAGGCCTACAGTTAACTCCTCTTGCCAACATCAAAGCATCATCTGGTGCCTGCCAGCCCCTGGTCAGAATGGGCATCCCATACTACAGGGCTAGCTCTTCTTTACTCTGTTGGAGCAGAGACAAAGATGCTGTGGAAGGCCTTACCCAAGATTGCCCTCTCCTTTTGCACGGAACTCTCTGCCTTGTATCCGGAAAACTCAACAGCTATCCTCTTTTGACTTAACCAGAAGACTTTCTTACGATGAGAACACCAGCCCAGGGGGTCCGCAGGATGGGTGTGGCTGCTCGCTTTCCTGTTTCTCTGCTTTATTTCTCTCTCATTGTTTGCTGATGATATTTGAAACTCTGGAGGCTCTTAGGATGTGATGTTGGGAGAAAAGAAGTGGAGACACTCTGGCATATTGCGTAGAAAAGGAAGGTGAAATAAGAAAAAGTTGACTCAGATCTGGGCTCAATTCTTAAGGATTGTTGTTGACAGAACCAAGTAATTGTTGGGGAATGAAAGTCTTATGAAAAGATGGGAGAGCTGTGTAGTAGATATGGAGCACTGATAACCAGGCATGGTCCCACATCCTCAGGGACTCCAGTGTTCTGGTTCTATAGAGCAGGGGCAAGCAGGCATGGTCCCGCATCCTCAGGGGACTCCAGAGTTCTAGTTCTATAGAAGTCCTACTCCAAGCTCAACCAACAAGAGATGAGCGCTTTAGAGACCTAAGCACAGGCTGTCTCAGGAGACTGAGCTAGAACCCAGAGCCTCCTAAAGCTGACCCTAGTACCAGAATGAGTCCTATTCAATATACCGTGATCTCTACCATAAATGTTGGCTGTACACTTAAGTCACATCTAAAACTTTTAAGTAGCTTTTAAGTATCCATGACTGTGTCCCAGGGAATCCCATGTCCGTCAGTATCCTCCAAATCTCTTTGGGTTTTGAGCTCAGCCATATGAGAAGCCTGGAGACCATTAGGTCCTAATATCATGTCAGGATTTAACCTTGGTCCCTCTCATCCCTTGCATCATAGTGCTTCATACACAAAGTGTGTTGTGTTGATGGAGTTTACTTTGGATTTGACACAGATTTGACATTCTGTTGGCTTGAAGTAACAGTGATGGTTATAGGTTTGTTGATGTATTTTCCAGAATATGTTGGAGTTAAATAGAATATCTACAATCTTCCTCATTTGGCTATCATGTTTCTCTTTCTCCCTGCCCATCCAGAACCCTTAATTGGCCTCAAAATCTATTCTGGACACCAAGCTGGCAAGAATGGAGTTGGCTGACCCATCCTCCCCGGAATCTCAGCCATTTCCCAGGGATGCCCTTAGAGAAAATCTGTAGCGGAGCATTTTCCTGCTCTCCTTACCAGATGGGAGGGATCCATTTACCTGCTTATAGATGGATTCTGTCTAGTAGTTAAATCTGCTATGGGACTAGGTGGTAGGAATGTGTTTGTGGGCATTCTTGTTGATAAATATCATGTGGAAATGGAATTTTTCTGGCATAAGCCAACTCCTGACAAATGGGCCCCTTATTGTCCTCTCAATGAGACCAGCTACATGACAACTAGCCTGGGGGAGCTGATGTAGAGTGAGAAATTGAAGCCATAGGTCTGTCTCAGAGTACAGGCTCACCAGACGGGATTTTTGGGTGTTGAAGACTCCATGGCTCTGTTCCTGATGGACAGCAGCTTGGGGCTCAGGCCAGGGCAGGAGGGGCTAGCTGCTGCTGCTGCCCAGTGCTGATTTTATAGGAGGCTTCCCTTGGCATGGACTGGGATGGCCTCAGGCTAGAAGACACTCTTGAGGGCTGGTGATTGCATCATTTTGAGTCCAGTCAGGAACACAGGATCCAGGGAGACATTTTACTTAGCTGGCAGGCTGTATGAGGGATGAGCTCCAGAGGTAAGAAAGAGCACAGGAGCAACAGGGAGAAAGTGAATAACTGGGAAGGAGCAGAAGGAGGAAGAGGCCACAACCTCAGTTAAGGAAGCATGAATCTCCCCAACTTGGCTGTGCATGGAGCCTGACCTGATTCTGGAGCTGCTAGAAAGATTCTGTAGTTGCCCCTGCGGCCTAGAGCTGAGATCCCTCCGCTCCAGCTATGACAAGTGCCGAGTGGCCTGTGACGTTTGAGCAAAGAGCAGGGTGCCTTTCTCTTCCTGTCATCACAGCTCTCGCTCCAGTGCCTCCCTTTGCAAACTCTAAGCCAAGCTGCTGAGGCTCTGTGAAGCATAGTTGGCAGACAGTTGGCAGACTCCTGTCTGAGGGGAAGGAGAGAGGCCAGGCAGGTTTATGTGGAACTGCACACAGCGGATGCAGAAATGAAAGTTCTGGTGATAAAGGAGCAGAAAGAGAAGCCAAGAGAGAATTGAAATTTAGTTAAACGAGGAAAACACATCCAAGACTTAAACTCTGTCATGCCCTTACATGTTTTTCTGTTTTTCCACAGTTCTCTGGAGACAAGAGATTAACAAGGGAAGGGATCAGCACTCAGACAGGTAGGTCCTCTTCCAAGTGTGCAGAAGGAACCTCTGTGGCCTTCGCATGAATATGTCTGGTGACCACAAGCTTGCTACTGGGATGTCACCACAACTTCATCTCCTCACTGGCAAGTGCTTTGTTGAGCTGACATTTATTGTCATGGAATCCTTACCCATCTATTCTGTGACAGGTTCTACAGATCACAGGTTGTTTCCTTTGCAGCCTCTTCTTGGATTTGGAAGAACTATGCTGTGTGAACAAGGTCAGCAGTGGTTTCTGTATTAGTCAGGAGAAGTTTGCGCATGAATGACAGAACATGCCACTCCCAACTCAAAGCAACAAACAAACAAACAAACAAAAGCAAAACAACAAAAATAAGCAAACAAACAACAACAGGACTTGAATAAAGTTTAGAGTTTAGACTCAGACCCATCAAATTCTCCAGGGCCCATTCTCTCTCCACGTTTCTCCATGTCTACCCTGACATCCTTATGCTGTGTGTGTGCGTGTGTGTGTGCATGTGTGTGTCTGTGTGTGTGCATGTGTGTGTATGTGTCTGTGTGTGTCTGTGTGGCTGTCATATCTGAGCAGCAGGTTGAGCAGGATCAACGCGAGCAGGTTCTCTTTTTAAGGAATAGAGAACTAGAAGTTGCCATTTAAAACTTTTACTTTCATTTGATTGGTGAATATTTGGTCCCATAGTGAGAATCTAGCTGCAAGAGAGTATGGGAAATGTATTCTTGATTCATACAGCTAAATGTCTAGGTAAATCTTCTGTGACCAAGGTAAGAAGACAACAAATTCTGGGATACATCCAATCGTGTCAGCAACAACACAGGTCAAAAAATGTGCTAGGCCAGGTGGTTCACATTTAATGTGGTGTGAACTGGTGAGGTTTTGGATGTAGTCACACTGAACTGGTAAATCCTATTGGAGTTCAAGGCTTTGAATTTCCACCAAGCTCCCAGTTGATTCCAATCCTATTAATCCATGGACCAAATAAAACTTAAGGGTCACATCTTGAGCCCTGCAAGTAGGGTTCAGCCTTGGCTTTCATTGTAAACCTGTCTTTGAGTGGGCTGTGAAATGTGAAGCCTAACTACCAGATGCCCTCCACAGATGTATGTTACCCTCCTTTGGTGAGGCTCCTTTCTCTGGAAAGGACACTGGTCAGAAAAGAAAGCTAGCTGTTCAAACTCAATGCATCTTCCTCAGACTCCAGAAAAGGAGCAGTGTGGTCTCCCAAGAGCTAGGCAGAATTTGTAGAGCTCAAAGACAGTGGGAGTCCATGGGACACTGAGAACAACAGTAAGGACGCTTCTGTCTGGCACCGGGCAGTGCAGCAAGCACTTTCTCCTGTGCCAGGCAGGATGAGGGCCTGAAAGAAAGAAGGCTGCCTCCATGGGCCTGCCCAGCTCCCATCTGTTGGGGGAGAGAAAGGACACGGAGCAGAGGCAGGAATTCAGGCAATTAATCCTTTATTTAAAGAATAATAAACAGCCAGATTTTACATACTGAAAGAGGGAACAAGGTAAAAGGGGTTAAAAACTAAAAAGCAAGGACGTCAGACACCAATTAACACAAGGCTAATTGACAATTTCCCCCAGCTTCCATGGAACATGCCAGGCCGATTTCCCCAATTGCTAATTAAATCAAACCACACACACAATACTAATTTCCCTAACTTAGGGAACTCAATAGACAAATAAAATGAGAAACTAACTTAAACATTTTGTCAAAGTATGGAGAGAAGGAAGGGTGAATGTGATCTTAATGTGAATAAACTTTGGTCCCCTTTATATCTGTGTAAGTTCTGGTATGTTTAATCAAATGCTGAAATGCCCTACTGTCTCCATCCTATCACATAAATGTACCTTCCTAGTCATGGAATACCACACAGCAGTCCTCTCCAGCTAACATCCTCTCCCTCTGGTGAAGGGTACCCAGAGCATCCTGGAAGTGACACACAAATGGCACCATTTAGAAATTATAAAATATCTACTTAATTACAATTAAAAACAAAGGAATAACTTTTCTTTAAAATAGTCCCCAAGGTTCTCTGAGCTGAAGTCTGACTTGGGGAAAGAGGGAAGGCAATCACTTAATCACACAAGATCGGCTCGGCAATTTACCCTCTCCCTGTTCCCAGCATGCAAGCTGGCTGGGCACTGATCTGTCTCAGGGGCCCCATAGCTCCTCCTGCTGCCCTGGCTACAGCTTTGAAATGTCCCCCTTCACCTCTGTGCTCTACCCAGGGCTCGTGAGAAGCATCCCTGAGACATCAGAGTGAGGACAGGGTTTTCAGGTCATCTGCCTAAGCCACTCTGCTATTCAGGACACTGAAACCTGGAGACGCTGCTGTGGCTCAGCTCTGAGAACCAGCCTGAGGCCCCAGGTTTTAAAAAATTATATGATTGTTTTAATAATTGGGGCTACTCCCACAGTGTTTACTCTACGAGGTCATGCCTCTGTGAGCGCTCTCCCAGGTCATCTCCGTCCATCCTCACAGTGATCCTGAAAGCCTCAACTTTTTATTCCTCAATTTTGTAGATAAGAGAACCCAGGCACTGACATGGTTAGCATTACAGCTGAGGTTCTACTCCTAAGTGGCAGAACAAGATTTGGATTCAAAAAGAATCTCTGCAGGTCCACGGTCTTAATTCGCTCTTTGACTGCCTCTTTGTAGACTGAATGGAAGATGCTGGTACAAGAGGAAAGGAGAAGAAAGCCATGCCTGCGTTTTTCAGGTGTAGTCATTATTAAAGTCTGGAATATTTCTAACATGATCTGTTCTTCTCACAATAAACATAGACTCAAACATCTCCATGCTGCCCCCCAACTCCATGCAGCCCCCTACCTCCATGCAACCTCCCATGATTTGTCCAGTTTCCTTGTTTTTCTCCTGTTGTCATATAATGAATAGCTTCTGGTGCTCACACACTCTTACAGCATGGTCTTTAGTGGTTGAGATGCGATTTGCTGAAGGGACGTGGCCCAATTTATTTAACCTATGACTGCTACTGACATTTGGGTCATGTCTTCCTTCTCTTTCGTAGGATGTTTTACTGTCTTTTTTACAGACTCATCTTTGCCCATCTGTTAGCTGTTGTTAGGGCAATGGCTTTACCACAAAACAAAGACAGGTGAAGGGAAGGGGATGTGAGTGGAAACACTCACTGTACAGAGCTAGGAAACCTGAACCTTCACTAGTGGTGGAGTAAACCTTCCCTCTAATGAAGTTCTTCACCACATGGTCATTCTTGGGCAGTCCCACTTTTGGGGTTACCATTGGGGGCACTGTCACTAAGACCAGGCCAAAGCCTCCTATAATAAGGAAAGAGAAGTTATCCTCTGTGGCTGAGGAAAGCTCTTCATGGAGCAGGTTAGTGATTAGCATAAGGCAAGTTGTATGTATCTTTGAAGTTAAGCATAGGGCCTGAAGAGATGGCATAGAAGTTTAGAGCACAGCTGCTCTTTCCAGAGGACCTGAGTTCAATTCCCAGAACCTACATATTGGCTTACAAGCATCTGTAACTCCAGGATACCTGACGCCCTCTTCTGGCTTCTCCAGGAACCAGGCACATAAGTGGTTCATAGACAGGCATTCATTTAAGACACCTATGCACATAAAATACATAAAAATCAATGTTAGGCTTATTTTAGGGAATTGGATGCCAAGTAAGGTGTGTTTGTGTATACACTGCTTGTTTACCTGGTTCTGTCTTACTCTCACCCACAGAAGCAAGGGAGCACATCTTCAGCCTGGGGTGTAGGCATAGGGGCAGCCAAGCAGCAAGGCAGAGTTGGGCTCTAAAGCATTTTTGGCCTTTTTATCTGACTGGCATCTTTAATACATCTGTCAAGAGGGAGGTGGCTTATCTGTCCTTGTCCCTTCCTGGGACAAAAGCAGACCTGTCACTGTCAGATCAGGGGAACTTTAGAGCTGTACGAAAGGACAGCTGAAAGTCCTCCTCATTCATTGTGATTTATCACTGACCCCTCCCCCAGGATGAAATAGCAATGAAATAGCAATGTGATAGGTTAATGTCGATAATTAAGGAGAGTTTAAGACCAGTGTGAGACTGAACTGTGTGTGTGGGTGGTGGAAATGGTTGTTTGATGTGAAAGTCAATGATTGAATTATTCAGAGAGAGTGATTTCCAAATGATAATTTTACACTTTACATAACTGATTCTGATTTATTATAGTGGCACCCAGTGGAGCCGGCTTACTTCTAAGGGGTTGTCAGCTTTTCCATCCCAGCTCTGGGCTAAGGCCCCACCCCTCCAAGAAAAGAACGGCTTCTGTCCAATGTTCCTGTTATCTCTCTTGTGTGAATTTTGCCCCCTCGTTCATGTGAGCGTGTATGACTTTTTTTGGCTTTGTAATGTATAACCAGGCACAAAGGTATGTGTGCATGTGTGTGTTTGTGTGTCTATGTATGTGAGTGTGTGTGAGCGAGCGTGCATGCATGTACACACACACACATCTCTCTCTCTCTCTCTCTCTCTCTCTGTCTCTCTCTCTCTCTCTCTCTGTGTGTGTGTGTGTGTGTATGCACACTGACCTTCATCTATGTGGGCAGTAGATGCTCCAGATTTCTTGAAAACTTTGAACTCCAGTAACTGAGAGATAGGCCCACAGTGGGAAATAGGACTCCGAGGGCCACTGCAATGATGATGGCGTAGAAGTGGCCACGGTCCCTTCGTAATCGAAAGAGTCAAAGTGTGCAGCCCAAGTTAGGGTCAACCCAGGAGTAGGAATGTGAAATTTCATGCTTGCTAGGAAAACACATATCAAAACTCAGTCCACAACAGTGACTGGTACTTTTCACAGGAGTCTTTCTTGCCCAGGGATGACTTAGCAAGACACAGACCTTTTATCTCTCTTCTGGAACAATCTAGAATGTAAAGGCCCTATTCCGGGACACCTGGCTACTTACACTGGTGTGTCTACTTATTACTGACATACTAGACCTTCACCCTCTCTCCCTGCCTCTGGG